TTAAGTCATCATAAGGCTCATAGTCTTTTAGGACGGATTGTTAGTACCACAAAATGAGTCATTTGTAAAAGATCATCCCCCTTTAAAAACCCTACTGAGGGCACACTGGAGAGCTGGCTCTTTGGAGACTCCAGAAAGTACAAGATCAGTGTTTGCACAGTATTACCCAGGGCCATTCACAAATGCTCAAGTTGTCAAGCTTTTGGAGGCGCAGGTTCCTGTTGGTTCTGAAGGATAAGAAAATTAGTAGTCTTGGGTCATGAGGACTAGACTCTGACACTAGAACCAAAAAGTTACAACTAATTAAGGAGAAAATCAGCCTAGAGTATTCTGCATAGTTGGCAAAGTCATACAGTTCTGTATCTGAAATCACAAGTCATTTGTCAGAGCTCTTCGTAATTACTGTTTTGCAGAGTAAAGAATTGCTAATCTAGAAAAGTGACCATGTAGGACATTATTACATATTAATTTTTTAGAGTTAATATAACCAGCCTTACCTATTGCCATATTCTTAGTCACATTGCTAATATTTGTGTCACTTCCTTTTCTGTATGTCAGTCTTCCACTGTCTCCCTTATAAAAAACAAGGAGGCCAGCCAAAGGGTCCGTTCTATAGAACAAGCCGACCTGTGTAATAGACTTCAAAGGGCAAACGGGAGGCTACGCCTGGTTTGATGAAAGCCACAGGAGATGCTGGTCAAGTGAGGATGTCTTATTTTGTAACAAGCTCACATGCACTTAAAAATAAGTAGGTCATGACACATATCTGGGTGTTTTGTTTGCTTTTCTCCCCCAAAATCTAACTGAAAGCATCTAACCCTTGCTCAGCTTCATGGCAGAGGCCACCTAAGTGCCTGTTACAGTAAAGTCAGGCCCTTTTATCACCAAAATGCCTAGACATTTCTTAAATCTTTCCACAGTTTGCTCCCATGGAGCAAATCTTTGTACTAAGTAAAACTTTAAGAACTTACAGGGAGAAGCTGTTTCTTATAATGTCATTCAAGTAAATGGGTAAGTGATTGTAAAAGAAATACACCTGTTGCTTTTTTTTTATTATTATTTCAGGTTAATTTCAGGGTACAAAGAAATAGGTTACAGTGTTTGCATTTGTTAGGTAGAGTCCCTGTTGTGGTTGTGTCCCTCCCCCAAGAGGTGCGTCACATACCCATTAAGTGGGAGCACACCAATCCCTCTCCCTCCTTCCGCCCCCCTCCCTCCCCATCTTGAATTGAATTGAGTTTTTCTCGTGCGTGGGTGTGTATTAGATCATCTGCTAGTTTCATATTAGTATTGGGTACATTGGATGCTTGCTTTTCCGTTCTTGTGATACTTAGAAGAATGTGTTTCAACTCTGTCCAGCTATTTCTACATCAAAAGTATTTTGTTTCTGGGTAGCATTTTTAAGTAATTCTGAAAAGAGTGCTCTGTAAATGACTAAATGGGTTTTTGTAAGATTGGGTACACACTCTTTTCCAGTAAACTGCAAGCCCTAATGAGGCAAGAACCCTGCTGTATCCACCAGTGTATTCCCAGCCCTTGTGTGCCTGTCACATAATATTAATAGACATTAAAAACTGTAACTAATTTATTGATAGACATTAAAAATGTCAACTAATAAATAGACCAAGGGGAATTTCAATAGAGGAAAGAACCTGTTAGAAATTTATATTGGTTCACGTGAAATACAGGGGCACTCCTGTTTCCTTGAAACAAGGAGTTCGGGGCAGCGCCTGTGGCTCAAAGGGGTAGGGCGCCAGCCCCAGCCAAAAACTAAAAAAAAGAAACAAGGAGTTTGCAGCTATTATATAAAAAAGAAAAATGTGTGTCATTTCTACTGGTTATAATTCTTTAAAATAAGAAGCTGGTTCTAAGATATGGGACACCTGCCAGTATGCAGACTGTTTTAACTTCTTACCTCTTTTGCTTTTAGAGGGAAAAAAATATCCTAACACAAAATCATGTAGTAAATATAATTCCTTTTAGCAAGAGTCAACTACATCTTCTTCCATTTGTTTCCATTTAAATGACGTACAGTAGAACCGTAGTTGGCCATCTCACTACATTGATCTCTTCCTTAGGTTGACCTAATTGTCATAGATTCGACGAGCACCACGTGTGTGAATCAGCACAGTCAGCTCAGTTCCTGTGGTGACCACCTCTGTATCTTGACCAGTTTATTTCAGTCCCTCAGGTGGTTCTGCTGTAATAGCAAGCGTGTCATCATCATTTGATATTTACCTCATTGTTACACACTTTTAGCAGGCATTATTGTTGCCTGAGATGTCTTTTTCTTTGACAGGTCAGAATCTAGATGAATGAAAATATATTAGAAGTGCCGTATCCACAGATAGAGGCTCTTGGACATTCAGTACATGTCAGCGCACACTAGGGTCTCACTGCTTACTGCCTTCATTCACACCTGCCTGCTTGGGTGGCCAGAGATGAACTTCCAGAATTAGTCCAATCTGCTCAGGTTCTTTCTTTAAAAGAACTTATGCTAACGGAGGAAAATGGCCTGTTGGCATCACTACCTAAGCCAAATAAACTCTTTCAAACAAAAAAATTGAAATTTCAATCTAACAGCTAATTTTTATAAAATCCTCTAGAAAAAAAGGTGTCTGTTTGTGCTGAAGACCCACAAAATGCCAGTACCACAGATTTTATTACTCCTTCTCTTGCCCTTTGGGGTTATATGGGACAGAATCTTAAAACCTCAGATAACACTGGATGCTACACTCAATGCTATAAGGCCCTTTCTAGATCTGTGGAGAGTAAGATCTTGCTTTTCTCATCTAAGTTCTTGATTTTTCCTTAGATGTTGAGGAAGGAGTGCACTTGTGTGCCCATTGATCTGGGCAGTTACATTGCAGGACATTTTTTTGTTTTTTTCTTTTTCTTTTTAGAGATGGGGGTCTCTGTCTATCACCCAGACTAGAGTACAGTGGCACGATCCTAGCTCACTGTAACCTTGAACCAGTGGGCTCAAGCAGACTTCCTACTTCAGCCTCCTAGGTAACTAGGACTGCAGATGTGTGCCATAATGTTTGGCTACTTTTTTTTTTTTTCTGGTCTCACTATGTTGCCCAGGCTGATCTTGAACTCCTGGTCCCAAATGATCCTCCTGCCTCAGCGTCCTTAACTGCTAGTATTACAGGCATGTGCTGCCTGGCCCAGCCTCAGTGCTGGCATGTTAACCAACATTATTTTAGTTGCCTTCAAAGACAAGGATGATATAAATTAAGTCCTTACTCTCAGAAAGAAGGTAAATACATTGCTGTCTTTCCTCAGTGATTAGAAAGCTCTCTTGCCTTGTTTCATCTATTTATTTACTTTTTATGATTGTTGGTAAAAGTAGAAATTTCAAAAACAAAATTCAACACCTTTTTATGAAAAGACAAATAATACATTTCATCAGCAGTCTGAGGTTTGGCTCCAGTTCATCTCCTGTCACACCCAGTTTGCCTTAAAAGGAAGTTCCTTGTTCAGGAAAGGGGGAGGGGTCCACTGATGGTAGGGTGATATTGCTGGTATTCTTACCTAATGTTTTTGCTCTTAATTCCTGTACCCATAGTACAGTTGCCATTCAGAAGTGAGCTCATATTCCAACCCATCCCTCTGGAGTGGTTCACATTGAGAAGAGAAGAAAGGAGAGCCAAACTGCAGCCTAGACAGCTCCCCGAGCAGGAAGTGCAGTTGGGTTTTTGTTTTATTTTGTTTTGTTTTTTGGCAGAGAAGTGTTGAGAGACACTAGTGCTTCCACCCTGTCATTAGTGGGTGGGTGAGAGTGATATAAAATAAGAGATGAATTAGGATAATAAGAGGCAAAGGAGAAAGGAGTAAATTTTCCAAAAGCAATATTTTTCTCTTCGTGGTTATTTAACTTTGAACCAGAACTTGAAAGTAGTAATCATGGTCTAGAGTAGACAAAGGGGCAGAACGTGGGAACCAGACAGGAAGGTGTGATTTCCTTTATTACATTAACTAGAAACATACATAAAAATGCACGACTTTCGGGAATACACTGCTATTTCCATTATAGAAAAGCAAAGAAAAGGGAAAGTCACACTGGTGTCTGTCGCCTTCTTTTTTTTTTTTCCAACTATAATGAATATGTATCCTTTAAAATAGCCTGTACATCTTCTTCTCTGATTCACTCCTTGGGTTTTTCTTTGGACTGTTTTGTGAGGTGGATATATAGTAAAGCAACACCCAGTGGGATGACTAAAGGCACAGACAAACCTTTAAATAGAGTGACCAAGCATTTTCAGCCTTCTCACAATGGCTACCTTCACTGCCGGATCCCCGAAATAAACCACTGAGACCTATTGATGTTCATTCATCGATTCAACCAAGATGTAATAAGTGCCTATAAAGCGCTAGCCGCTTAGGTACCGAGGATACAGTGATGAACTAAACAATGTTACTGCTCCCATGAGATTTACATTCTAAAGGGGAAAGCAGACTCCTAACAAATCACTGCGCTCACATTGTTATAAATGCTATGGATAAACCTACAACGTGAGAGGCAAATAAAGGGGCTTGTTTTCTACAGTGAGAAGTGACAGTCTTGGTGAGGAAATATAAAGAGGAGCATTTAATGCCTTTAACGTGGTGGGAGGGAGGATGACACAGTCTTATTTATATTTGAAGATTATTTTCATGGTAGTCTAGCGGTGGAATTAGAGAAGGCCCCAGATAAAAAGAAGTGTATCAGTATTTCAAAGACACACAAAATTGAATCAGAAGATTCCTTTGCTTCCTTAGAATGGTTCTTTAAATGTTTTTATTACACTGTTATTTGGAAATAGTAACTAGTATGTTATTCTGTACTGCATTTTTTAGCAGTGCATGGTTTTGTAAGGGTCTGAGTAAGTAAAGTGTTCTGTGAATTCCCTTAGAGCACCAACACTGCTTCTGTTGAAAAAGACATTCAGTTACATTTTGTCATCTGCACACACACATAATTGTGGTTTCATAGGATGTTTTCCCCATTTCCTCAGCTCCTACAGAGCCTTTATTATGTAAGTTCGCGGATGGAGGACAGAAGAAGAGGCAGAACCCCAACAAATATATCCCTAATGGAAGACCATGGCATAGAGAAGGAGAGGTGAGACTTGTAAGTCCTTTCTTGAAAATTTAGTGGGGGTGTGTGATCACAAAAGCTCACATGAAAAGCTACACAAAAGGGCCCTTGCCTTGGCCACCACCAGTCTGAAACTGGGGTCAGGATTAAACCTCCCTGCTGGTACATTATAATTCAGGTGACATCCCATTAAAACTCTTCCCAATGTGCGTGGTGCTGACAGAGTGATGATTCTCCAGATCAGCAGGTGGATGGTAGAAACAGCTCTGTTTACCAGCCAGCTACACATAAAGTAAAGGCATTCTAAATTGCTGTCAGAAATACTCAAGTGTTTTGGAGTTTTCTTTTTTTGTTTTTTTTTTTAATGTCATGGTTTCTTGGAGGGTTTACATTTACAATAGTCAAAAATGATAAATAACATTAACATAAATAGTATATCACTAAGTTGGGTGGTTTTATTTATTTTGGCTCATTCTTTTGAAGAGTTTTCTCTACCCCCAAATCCTAATTTTTTAATAAAATGTTAGACTTCCATTTCCCCCTATTTATTTTCCATGAATTGTTATTTAAAAAATGATAACATACTGGTCCAAGAATGTCTGGAGAAAATGTTCTCAAATCTGCACTGTCCAGTGATAGCCACCAGCCACATGTGTCTATCTGACTTAGTGTGCTGGAGGGATTGAATTTTTCATTTAATTTTCAATAGCTGCATGTGGCTAATGGCTACCATGTGGGACAGCACAGGTCTAAAGTATAATTTTCATATTTAGTATATAGTATGTTTGACCAACAGAAACTCCCAGTTTTATCAAATGCTATTAAACTATCACTGTCTTATCCTATTACGGCTCTAAGAAATGGAATTTTTGAAAGGATGCCTTTCTGTATGAATGCTCATGTTTCTTTCTCTTTCCCATAGGCTGGAATGACACTTACTTATGACCCAGCTACAGCTGCTATCCAGAACGGGTATGTCATCAGGGAAAGTGCATAATGGCTCGAGGGAAAATGTGAAGGTGTAAAATAGCAGATATTTGTTCCATGAATTATTTTATGTAAAGGATTACTTAATAAAGGCTTTTGTGTTTGTTCTAGATTTTATCCTTCACCATACAGTATTGCTACAAACCGAATGATCACTCAAACTTCTATAACACCCTATATTGCATCTCCTGTATCTGCCTACCAGGTTTGTACCTTTAGGATTCATCAGCAGTATGACAACTTGCGGACCATGAATCTCTGCTACATATCTATATGTCTTGAAATTTTGAACATTTATAATGACAGTTACGTCAGATGTTATGCAGCTTGGATAGCCAGTTTAGAATAAGCTGCTTTTGATTTGGCAGAGTAATTTATTTTTATGTATAGGAGAATGTAAAGCTAGGGGAAATAGTTGTCAGCTGTCAGTCCTTGGAAAAGCAGCATTTTAGAACTGGGATGAACCCAAACGCATTCTTCACCAACGGGCTCTGCTTTTGGACACTCATGTGTCCCAAAATAGAAAGTTAAGGTAATTACCATTAGGTAAAGTAGAGTAGTGTGCCCTTGCTTTTGTTTATGTATGGGCAGGAACTGATGAAAGACCAAGTAAACATGTATGCGCTAATACACAAAGCTGTGTCTCCTTTAGGTAGCATCAAATGAGCAATGCAGATGACATCTGAAGCAATAAATAAAGAAGTGACTTCCTATTTTGGTTATTTTGTGAGGAGGCTGTACTGTAAAATAAATTCCCAGTTTCAAAACAAAAATCTCATTAAGCACCTTGTTATAATACTGATTTGATTTGATTGCAGGGTTAGCCCCTAACAGCTATGTACATGCATTTCCCCTCCCATATCAGAGTACCTCTACGAGGTGCTGCCTGGGTCCGGAAAGGAACATCCTAATGGAGTTCAGTTACAGATGTGCAGGATTAGAGTTCTCTTTTGTTGACTGTTGGGAGCCTGTGTGGCTAAACAAAGTTTTTATGTATTTTTGTTTTTATAACAATTGAATTAGGTGTTGTAGTCCTGATTTCTGGGGTTAGGGGACTACAATATGTAATCTAATCACTGTGTTATTTTACTTCTGTCAGCCTCAATTTCCTCCTCTTTAAAATGGGTATAATAATAGTTTCTATCTCATAGGTTTAAGAAAGTTAGAACTAAATGAGACTTATCTGTGTAAAGAATTCAGCACAATAGCTGGCAAATTCATTAGCACTCAATAAGTGTGAGCTATGATTATTATTAATATGCAGGATTAGCTGACTTATAATAATTATACTTTCAGTCAACATAAGCGATATCGTAAAGCTGATTCTGCCTAAAAACACGAAAATGGTTTTAAATGACAGAGAAGAGATCAGATGTGTAAAAAGTGAGATTTTGAAGTAATATTCACAGCTGTCCTCAGCTTTTAGGTTCTTTAGTTCTCGTCCTTTCCCTGATTTGTCACTCATTTTCTTTTCTTGATTCTCTCTGGGATGTTATGTCACTTATTCTGGTGCTTCAGTCTGCTAGGCATAGTATTCGCTAATTTAACACCTTCTTAACTGTTTTAGACTTAGGATTCCTACCTTTTCCTTGCCTGTATGAGACTCTGTGAGATCTGCTATAGTGCATTTTCCCTAATAAACAATTCCTATGTCTGCTATTAATAGGTAATCTTCTTTCTTAACTGTCTGAACTTGGAAACCTCTGTCACCAAAATAGGGTCAAGTATGAGCTTGTTCTCAGGTAAATGAAAGGTCATACATATTAAATTGGCACTTATGTTGGCATAGATGTTACAGCTCTTAAAGCATCGCTCCTCCACCTCTTTTTCTCTCTTTAATATAAAAGCAATGTGCATTTTGGCCACAGAGTCATTTCATAGAATAAAAAATTAGGAGACTAGTGTTGGTAATATAATAGATTTGGTATGGCTAACTGGAAACAGTACATTGTTTAAAAGGCCCGATTTCCTCTCCTGGGCATTCTGTATTTCTCTGAGATACATGTGGAATTTTAGTCCATCATCCTGACCCTCATGCATAGCCTCTCCGGCTGATTTTTAACCTGATAAATTCAGAGACACAGTGGGCCTAGTGTATGAGCTTTATGTAATCCACAGTCCCCTTAAGTTGTTTGTGTATGTGTGCAGTTATTTCATCAGGTGTTCAAAGGGCTCCATGACCCTGGGAAGGTTAAGAACCAATGGTAAAAAGTTTATAGGACATAGATTATTATTCCCATTTTACAATTAGGGAAATTTGAGGAATAGAAGTTGATAGCAGCTGATTTGCTGCTTAAGAAAGAAAATTACATTAGATGTCATAGTTCCCTAACTCCATGATTTTATAAGCTATTAAATTATTAAGAAGCATCTAAAAAATGGGGACATCTGCCCCAAATTGGGGTCTTCAGGGAGCTGCTTACCTCCTGGTGATTTATCCTGTGAGGGCCCTGCATCACGTTGGAGTGGGCCTTTCTCCCCTAAACTATCCTATGCTTGTGCAAAAATTGGCATCTGTAAGAAACCACCAATCTATCCCAGTGGGGAAAGGCTGCAGTCCAGATAACTGAAATGTTAACAAGGCAGAAGCACCTAACTTTGGTCTGCCTTAGGTGGCAAAGGAAACCAGAGAAAACAAGTATCGGGGCTCTGCTATCAAGGTAAATCACAACACGTTCTTCCCCGTGACTCTTCCCCATGTCCTGTCTATAGAATCTCTGAAGGGAACAATAGGGGATAAAATCCAAGAGAGGTTCTGGTTAAGAATTAGAAACTGAAACTTAAGTTTAACATTGCATAGACTCTGGAAAGCTCTGAGCATGACGAGTGAACTGATGTGTTTTCCTCTTGAGTGGCAAGAGGAAAGCACGTGCACGTGCTTCCCTTCCTGCCCCCAAACCTGACTCTGATGTCGTCTTTCTCATTTCCGAGTGTTTCTGTATAGATGCCCTTTTGATTATGGATGTTAAAATCTGGTTCCTGAAATTTAATTTCCTAAGTCTGAATTGCAGATTTTTATTTTCCACACTAACTAGAAATTATTGACTTCGGTATAAGATTTCTGAAACCTGATGTCCCAGGTATCAAATAGAAGTGGAATTTAGTTATTCTTATTAAATAAGCACGTACTTTAAGGACTAGCTTCTAATGAGATGTGCTGGAATTCTCATTCATCTGTATCCCCAGAGTACCTATTTCATACCTTGACGGTAATACAGTTCACTAATTTGAGTTGTTTCTTTGTTTATCTCCTTTTGCTCTTAGACAGAAATTGAGAGTGGGGCCCATGTCTTATTTGCTTTTTCTCTTTGGTGCCTAAAACTCAATAAATATCTTCTCAAGTGGGTGAAAAGAAATTGTTTCTAAATAATCATTTCATCCCATTCAGAGTGACCAGTTTGCCAAGAACTCTAACTGCCTTAATCGTTTTAATCATTGATAGTATTATTTCCTTATTTTCTGTCTGTAGACTTTTAACATGATTAAAAAGAGTTCTAGAGAAATAGGTAAGGATTACAATGGAAATCAATATTGCTCTCAAAATCCTTTTTCTAGGTGCAAAGTCCTTCTTGGATGCAACCTCAACCATATATCCTACAGCACCCTGTAAGTTTTCATCTTAATGTCTTTGTATTTTAAAAGTAAGCTATGTGTATATTCTCTGGGTTGAAACCATTTGCCAAAGATGATACAAGATTTGGGGAAATTTAAGCATGGAATATGAGTACAAGTTCATTATAAAACTTCCACTCATCCTTGTTGTAAAACAGATTGGTAGTAAACATTCAGATAACTTTTCTATGAAAAATTAAAATATGTTATATTGGAGGCAGGCCACAATTTTCGTACTAATACTAGTTCTGTAGGAGATCATTCAATAGAGTGGCCAAATTTTTAACAGTGCTTGAGGTAAAATAGCTTATATTCTGCATAACACAAATTAAAAGTTCAAAATTTAGATGGAGATTTTCATCCGTGTTACTAAGCTTTTCTGTGGAAATAATTATAAATACTAAAATGATAATGCATTCTTTAGTAAATGATGCCATGGCGCTCTAGCCTGGGTGACAGAGTGAGGCTGTCTCAAAAAGAAACAAACAAAACAAAAAAACCCAAATTTCTTAGTGACCTGAGCATTTGTCGTTCTTATGTATATAGTACATTTTTTAATCGATTTATACTTCACCTTATTCAGTAGTCTATTTAAAATGCTTTTCAAAGATACATGAAATTTAGTTTGTTGGATTAAAATGAGCATTTAAAAGTTGAAAAATAACTATAGAGAACAAAGTCACAGCTACGGCTAAGGGCACCCAACACAGTGAGTGACCTGCATGCTTGCCATGAGAAGGTCACAGATTTGGCCCTGAGCTTTCTAGTAAGCGGTGCAAAATGGGAATCCTGACAGGCAGTATAGTTCACAGTATGTATACGTTAGAAACAGATTGGATTGCTTAGGAAAATAACACTGTCCTTGGCCTTAAGTTCAGACAGGAATTTATGTCAGGATATCTCCTTAAAGTGGACACCACGCAGTGTAAGTCCATGTGTATGAAACAACAATCCAGAGATAACAAGTTCTGAACAATTCGCTGAGATGACCTGTAAGAAGCAGATAAAATATGTTTAGGTGATAAGAGAAGATCTCTCTGATGATGTGTGTTGTATGATATAAACACACGTACATGTATCTATACGTGCATCCTTGATACATCTGCATACATCCATAAATCCACACTTAGCTACACGCTATGTATACATTGTATGCGTCCACTAATCCACACAGTGCCCCTGATGCTCCATGCTACCTATTTTGGAATGCTTAGAAATCAATCCACTTTTAATTTGGGGATTTCCTACACAGTAGCTCCCACAGATGGTGCCAGTGAATGAGAAAAAGGAGCAGAAAACCCCTCCACCGTATTCTGGGCTTCTGAGTCATTTCCATGTTATCACATACTTTTTGATGCTCTACATTAAAAATGAAAAAAGAAAGACATTTTTCCAGAAATGCATCAATAACAAACATCTCTGACACATGTCTTTTTTCTTTTTGGCAACTTTTAGAGACAGATTGCACTTATCTCCATTTACCACCTTTGAGGAGGTATTACGAGTATGTGCAGAAGGTTCCTATCAGAGAATTCATTACCTTTTCCCACGTAGATTTAAACTGCCTGATTTAAACCAGGATTAAAATGCCTGTACACCTACCTCTTCCATCAACTGTGTACCTAATTATCAATAAATAACAGAGTACGTCAGACACAGTGATGCCAAAACATACATTAGTATTTATACAGTGTATCAGAATACTTGCATTCTCAGGTAATTGGATGATTGTAAAAGTCTAGAAATAAAGGAGTTAAATTTTGGCTTCTGCAATCAACATACCATGTAACTTAAAAGTGATGATGATGATGACAGCCATGCAGTAAGTTAGATAAATGCTTATGATAGAATGCCAGCTTAAGAGCAGAAGCCCAGGATATGACATTTTTGATGTACTCTGACTGCAGCGACGTAGACCTCTGCAGAGGCGCACCCTGGCAGCAGGGCCCTGACATTGTCAGGAGTAGCAGTATTAGGCTGGCTAAGTTATGGGTGATTGGTTTTTTCCTCTTCTCTGTTTTCTTCAATGTATCTAATTTGATTTTTACTGACCAATATGTTATCAAAGGAAGAACCTGGAATTGGATTATTAATCATGTCTGAGTTGACTTCCCTCCCCCAGCATCAAATGTCACTTAAAGTTCTGAGAAACACCACGTGAGTGAAGAATGTGCTCTCCATCCTAATGACCTGACCCTGAGCTAAACGACTGTATAGAACATTGTCGAACAAAACACAATGTTGATCATATCCAATGTAATCTATTGTTTTGTGACTATAGAGAACATCAACTCTCAGTTTTTTCCCCTAAGTTTTTATAAGAAACTATTTGGTCACACTAGGCAGCCAACAATAATTGTGGTTTGTGTTTCCTGTTACAGCTCCTCCTGCTGGACTAACTTGCTTTGCAGTTAGGTAAAGGGAAGGGAAAGAAAGATTCACCTATTACAGGGATTTCTGCAAAGTGAGTGCCAAGATATAATTTCACCTAATGCTCTTAAAAAAAACTCTCAGGAAGAGCAATCTAGAAGATTTTTTAGAAACAAAATAAATAATGATACCTTTGCAAGATTGAGGGAGGTTGATTTTGCTTCACATTCTTCAACAAACTAAGACTTTCCTTTGCAAAAGGTAATTATGGATTCTCAACTCCCTCCCTCAGTTTGTCTTATTTTGCTCTTGCTTCCAACTCCCCAGGGTGCCGTGTTAACTCCCTCGATGGAGCACACTATGTCACTACAGCCTGCATCTATGATCAGCCCTCTGGCCCAGCAGATGAGTCATCTGTCACTAGGCAGCACCGGAACTGTAGGTGGAAAATTAATATCATGTCTCTGTAAACAGAGGAGGGTAAATTAATGCAGCCTTATCTTCCCTGTCAAATTACAGTCTCTATGATGATAAAATTTTTGTCTGATCATCTCTCTTCCCCCCCTACATTGCCTTCTATAAAGTAAATACTGGGATATTTCTTGATTAATTGGTAAACTTAAAGTCTGTTCTTGGGGTATCCCTTACTGGAATATAGCACCCATATATGATCTCATCTAGCCTAATATAACTAGGATTATTCATGACACTATGGCGGTGTCGTGAAGCAACAGGTGATGGTAATACAAAGTGGGAAAGGCAGGAAATTTGTCCTCACTTATTTCTTCTTTTATGGGATTTGAGTACATTGAATCATGATCTTAATATTAACTTATTTCACCAAGGTCTAAGGACCAAGCTTGAGCTGTTAGCAGATCAACTACCAGGTTGTGTCATGTTTAGCATTTAGATGGCTTCAATTCAGCTTGTGTCTATAGTGGCTTACACTATAGTGCGTTCCCCCCACCCCAACAAAACCAGCAGCAGTGATACATATCCAATAGATTGACTTGAGATTTCTCCTGCCTTTCAGAAGGGATGACTGTCAGTCATTGTCTGATCTGCAGGGCTTCATTGTCTAATCTGCAGTGACCTGTTAAAGTTCTAATAAGTCATTTATCCCTGGGTCTCCACCTATAGAAACAATTAGTAGGTACTAGTTTAGTTTAGGGAGCTTCCAAGAAATAACAAGGTCCTTTGAGGAGAGAGTTTCTAAAATAACATTAGTGATACTGAATTATTGAGGATTATACCTTTTTTAATCTTCATCCATATCCTTCTTCCAAAGAAACATGGGTTCTCTAGCTTGAAAAATTCAAAAAGTAGAAAACTTTGCTTTCCATATGACATGTTTATGTGTACTCATTAAGCTTTGAGCTAGTCCATTTCAGTTTCTTCTTTGAGACTTGCAAATACTTTATACCCATCTCCCAGCTCCACAAGTATTCAGAATTGTCCATGATTTGCCATCCCCATTCTCATCTTATCGTTCTTTTCAGTACATGCCTGCAACATCAGCTATGCAAGGAGCCTACTTGCCGCAGTACGCACACATGCAGACGACAGCAGTTCCTGTCGAGGTTGGTACAGACCACTCAGTGACCTTTTTGGCAATAAGAAGAGTAAAGCTCCTCTAAGTTGACACCTAAGGGACTCTAACACACTGCTCAACATAAGGAACTAGGTTTATACTGATATGTACGTGTGCTGCATGTCTTGGTGTATGAAAATTCTATTACCTTTAAGGAGATGGTCCACGTAGGGAGATAGTCAACTAGGAAGTTCTACTGTAGTTTTGGAAATGGATCAGTGGAACGCAAAGAAAATAAAATCTATCATGAAGAATTGTTTAGAGGGGATATACCCACAAAAGAGTATTATTTTCAACTATAATATTTAATTTTCTCCATACAAGTTAGAGTAACAACATTAGGGTCACACTCCCAAGACCCTCAGAAATGTCTTCTAATCTTGTAGTGCATTTCATATTCCTTCAAGTCACTTGTTGCTTCTGTAAATGCTACTTACAGGCATGTTAACATAAATCTGGAATTTGTAACCCCAATACTAAAGATTGTTTCAATAATGAATAATGACAAAAAGAAGTCAGCTTTAATTCAGATACTTTATGGAAAAGAAGAAGCTGATGTTTCAAAAGTGTAACAGCAATGAGGAGGAAACAATGCTTGTTTTTGCAGAGGCTAGTAGTAGAGCTGAATAAGTCTTAGTTCTTGTCGTAGAAGATATCGATGTTGAATGGGAGAAAGAATTATGACGTTTGAATTATGATTGGTCAGAAAGCATAGCATTTTCCTGCTGGGTACCTTCAAATTCCAAGGAAGTTTATCAGTTCGTTGATTTTGCCTGGTAGGCAGGTCCTAAAGGTTCCAGGGCCAGGCAGGGACTGTAGAGCTGTGGCTTGCTTTGATGTTGCTGCTTTACTTACGATCTTGTAATTTTTGGCAACTCTAATTACCAAAGCCTATAATTTCTTATCTGCAATTCTGAAACTCAAAAAAAAATATGACAATAAGAATTCTTTTTGTAACTACATTAGCCAAAGAATCTGATCTATGGCAAAACCTAACTAGAACTGAGATAGGACAAAATCTGTATCCCACTTATTTATGGCTTATGCTTATTTGTGGCTTTCATTGTGGAACTATTAATATGATTGCTAAAAGGGTACAGCCCTGTGGCCTCCTAGGGGGTTTATGTCATATACAGTGTATGCATACCATATTTCAGATAAAATCTGAAAATATTGAATTTCAAATCACTTCTGGCTCCAGGAAATAAGAGAATAAGAGATTTGTCTACTAAATTATAGTTTGATAAGAATAGATAAGTCATAAACATTTGGACAGGAGATTCTTTGGGTCTATCTGACATGTCAGCTACTTAGGAAAATGATTAACCTTGAACACTCTACATGACATTAAGAAGTTCACTTTACAGTGTGCTTTTTAAGGTATATGGTATTGGACTTGGTCAGGTCTAAGTCTATCTCATTTGTTCTGCTTTGTCATAGGAAGCCAGTGGTCAGCAGCAGGTGGCTGTAGAGACGTCTAATGACCATTCTCCATATACCTTTCAACCCAATAAGTAACTGTGAGGTATGAAGGAAAGGTCTTCTTACCTGTGGGGCTCAACTCAAGCAAAGACTATGGTTTAGTTTGGTTTGGTTTTAATGAAAATGCTCGTTGGAATAACTCAATTTGATCATGCTACTTTAATCATAGCTAAGGTATCCAATTTTGTTGAAATGTCAAAATCAGTGATTTTATAAATTTGCAGATTAATCATCCTGTCCAAATAGAGTAATGCTTTATATTAAAGTCAAATGTATAATTACTCTCCTCCCTAAAAAAACCAAAAATCTGTAACATCAGAAAACACTAGGTATAAAAATTGACCTGTAACAGAAGTACCATACATTTCCTTAAAACTTATGAACTAAAGGATTTACAGCATAAGATGTTGCTTAATCTAGCACTAGCAAGATTAGCCATATCTTGACTGTGGATGTAGATTAATGTTAATATCCTTACTTTGAAAGACTGTAACAGGCAGTCCCCAAGTTACAAACATCCAATTTATGTATAACTCGTGCTTACGAACAGCGGCTGTTATAGTGAGTCCCCAACTTACAAACATCTTACCACTCCCACTTACAAAGAGCCTATTACAGGTAATAGGTGAATGTACCTGTTCCAACTTTCATACAGATTCAACTTAAGAACAAATCCATAGACCATATCTCATTCATAACTCAAACACTGCCTGTATTCCCAGCTGTCACTTGAACCACAAATTTCAGAACTTTTCACTTTGCCATGCATATTACAGTAGAATTAGCTAGGGAGAACTTTGAACAGCTGGTTTCTGGATTGCCCTCGTAACAGTGTGCAGTGTTGATTCCATAAAGTCACTCTTCGTGTTTAGAGAATCATGTGGATTTATCTCTGGGTCCTTTCTGAGAAGAAAGTATCTTGTGGGTTCTGGATATGAAAAGAACACTCAAGGCATTAAAAGTAACCATCAGAAAAAAAATAAATAAATAAATAAAATAAAAAAATAAAAAAGTAACCATCAGTTCCAGAGTTTGCCCTTCTCAGTCTCCCACCCATGATGAGCACAGCCTTTTTCAAACAACAAGACAGAGATTATAAAGCTCTGCATTGTATTGCACCAAATCTACAATACCATTTATCTTTTTTTCTCTTCCAGATGTACAGAAGGGTGTTCTTACATGAAGAAGGGTGTGAAGGCTGAACAATCATGGATTTTTCTGATCAATTGTGCTTTAGGAAATTATTGACAGTTTTGCACAGGTTCTTGAAAACGTTATTTATAATGAAAATCAACTAAAACTATTTTTGCTATAAGTTCTATAAGGTGCATAAAACCCTTAAATTCATCTAGTAGCTGTTCCCCTGAACAGGTTTATTTTAGTAAAAAAAAAACAAAAAAACAAAAAAAAA